TAGATTGGCCTACGTAAGGAGCAGGGCTTTGAAAGATTCCTTAGGAGGAATTTCCAGTAAATGTCGTGGCACATACGACCTTAGATCGGCCTGCGTCAGGAGCAAGGCTTTTTAAGATTCCTTAGGAGGAATTTTCACTAAGTGTCGCAGCACAAACGACCTTAGATCGGCCTGCGCAAGGAGTCGAACTTTGTAAGATTCCTTAGGAAGAATTTCTACTAAGTGTCGTAGCATATACGACCTTAGATCGACCTGCGTAAGGAGCAGGGCTTTGTAAGATTCTGACAGAATGCTGAATAAAATGTTCAAAAATAGGAAGTCCCATTTTATTGATGTGATTGACATTACAAGCGGGCTTTATATGTCATGGACCTTTCCCGTTCACTGATAGTACTGCTTAAGGTGTTCGGCATTCCAAGGATGGGGTAAGGGTCTACCCCCAAGTCTTCCAGTTCATATGCTCCTTTTAGCAGGACCTTCGTTATCAGATAGGGGCCTTCCCGGTTCGGACCCAGGCATCCACTGTCGACCTCTCTTGTGGGGAGGAATACCTTTCGTAAGACAAGGGATCCTACCTCGAATTCTCTTTTTCGCACTTTTTGATTGTAGTACTTGGCGTTTCGCTGTTTGTAAATGACATTTTTGAGTTCGGCATTGTTCCTTTTCTCCTCGGCTAGCTCGAGTTCCGTATGAAGAGCTATGTGGTTCCTTTCTTCATCGTAATCAGTTCTGTGCAGCAAGAAAATGCTGATTTCTAGTAGGATCACAGCCTCTACACCGAAAGCCAGTGAGAACGGTGTATCTCCCGTGCTAGTCCTTGCTGTGGTGCGATATGACCATAGCACATTGGGGAGTTCTTCAGCCCATCTTCCTTTAAATATGTCGAGTTTTGCTTTCAATGTGTGCTTAATAATTTTGTTAATGGCTTTGACTTAGCCATTTTCCTGTGGATGGTTCGGTGTTGAGAAATGTTTCTTGATGCCGAACTCTTCACAGAAATCTGAAAGTCTTGCATTGTCGAACTGTTTTCCATTGTCCGTAACAATGGAGTGAAGTATGCCAAACTTACAGATGATTGATTTCCACAAAAATTCAATTGTTTTTTGTTCGATGATCTTGGCAAGTGGCTCTGTCTCGGCCCATTTAGTGAAGTAATCCACTACGACAATGGCAAATTTTACACCTTTTTTTCCAATGGGCATAGGTCCAATTAGGTCGACCCCCCATTTTGCAAAGGGCCAATGGGCTATTACCGAGTTCTGTTCACACGGTGGAGTATTTATGATGAGGGCGACGCGCTGGCACTTGTCGCATTTTTTGACAAATTCAAGGGAATCACATCTTATTGCAGGCCAAAACTATCCTTGTCGTATGATTTTGTGGGCTAATGAGAGACCATCGGAATGGTTTCCACATATTCCTTTATGAACGTCTTGCAGGGTATGCTGAGCTTCTTCTTCATTCAAACACCTTAACAAGAATATCCCCATTTGTATAGTACATTGTTAATGAGTGTGTACCTAGCTGACCTGATTCGGAGCTTTCTAGACTCTGCAGAGTTTTCGAGACATTTCCCGATTTTTAGATAGGCGACGATCTCGTCCCGCCAAGTTGGTTTGGGGTCTATCATCATAAGGACCACTTCGACCAGCTCAGTGGATGGTAGGGATATTCTTCCTACGGGGATGCCATCGAATTCTTCGATTCCTTCACTGGTGGCTAGGCGGGTTAGTGCGTCGGCGTGGCCATTTTGAGATCGAGGAATCTGTTTGACTTGGGTGGTGTTGGACCTTTCAAGATCTTTCCTTACAACCCGTAGGTAATTGTCCATTCTTTCTTCTTTCACCTAATATATACTGTTGACTTGATTCACGACTAGTTGGGAGTCGCTATGTATGATTAGGTTGGAGATCCCCAACCCTGAGGCCATCCTTATTTCGACAATGAGAGCTTCGTACTCAGCCTCATTGTTTGAAGCTTTAAAGTCAAATCGCAAGGCTTTGTAGAATATGCGTTGTTCAAGGCTGATTAATACTACGCCAGCCCCAGATCGTTCTCTGGTGGATGAACCATCGACATAAAGTTCCCATGGGGTTTCTTTCGGTAGTTCTTCAATTAAAACAATGCAGAACTCAGAGACAAAGTCGGCGAGCGCTTGACCCTTGATGGAGGAATGAGGCGTGTATTTGTTATCGAATTGTCCAAGCTCGATTGCCCATTTTACCATCCAAGCTGAAGTGTCGGGTCTTTGCAGTGTTTGTCTCAATAGAGAATTGGTAAGGACCTCAATGGGGGGTTCCAAGAAATATGACCTCAGTTTTCGCGCTGCCATCAGCAGGGTGAATGCCAGCTTCTCTATAGGTGAATATCTGAGCTCAGCTTCGTGAAGCGCTTTGCTTACGTAATAGACTGGATGTTGAACGTCTTTCTCTTCTCGGGTCAGAACTGCACTAATGGCATGTTTTGAAACAGATAAATATAGTTTCATGACCTCGCCTACCTTAGGTTTTGAAAGCAATGGAGGCTGAGCTAGTTGTCTCTTTAACTCGTTAAAGGCATCATGGCATTCTTTGGTCCATTCAAACTTCTTTTCTCCTCGTAATGTGTCAAAGAAGGGTTTGCATCGGTCCGTAGACTTGGAGATGAACAGGCTGAGGGCGACAATCCTTTCGGTTAAACTTTGTACCTCTTTGGGTCTGGTTGGAGGCTTCATTTGGATAACAACTTGAATTTTTTCAGGATTTGCCTCGCTTCCTCAATTGTTTACAATGTAACCTAGGAACCTTCCAGAGCTGACCTCGAAAGTACATTTCCTTGGGTTCAACTTCATTCCATACTTTCTCAGAATATCAAACATCTTGGCCAGGTGCCGACAGTGGTCCTTGGCCTCGATGCTTTTGACCAGCATATCATCAATATACACTTCCATTGTTTTTTCGATCTGTTGGGAAAACATGGAATTCACAAGTCATTGGTAGGTGGCACCAGCATTTTTGAGACCAAATGGCATTACTTTGTAGCAGTAAAGACCCCGGTCAGTTACAAACGAGGTATGTTTTTGATTTGGGCCGTACATCGGTATCTGGTTATATCAGAAGCACGCGTCCATGAAGCTGAGTAGTTCGTGTCCGGCAGTGGCGTCCACCATTTGATCTATTCTTGGCAAAGGAAAACTATCTTTGGGGCATGCTTTGTTGAGATCGGTGAAGTCTATGCATACCCTCCAATCTCCATTGTGTTTTTTCATAAGGACCGAATTGCGACCCACTTCAGATATTTTGACTCGTGGAGGAAACCATTGTGCAACAGTTTTTTCACCTCCTTATTGAGTGCTTCATATCTTTCAGGGTTCAGAGGTCGTCATTTTTGCTGCTTCGGTCAAACTGAGGGATCTACCTATAATTTGTGGCAGGTGATATTGGGATCTATTCCTCTCATGTCCCCGTGATTACAGACGAAGACATCAAGGTTTTGTCTAAGGAAGGCCACAATTTCACTTCTGGTGGAGGGCTGCAGCTCGCGCCCGACTTTGAGCTCTTTTGATAGATCATCCGCACAAACTTGAGCTCCTTCTAGTTCTTCGATGGGTTTTCCACCTTCGATCTTGGTCCTCGAGTCTAGTGGAATGAGCTCGAATTCCCATATATTTGCTATAGGTGTAGGGTTTCCATTGACATCTTTCGGTGAGCTCCCTGTTTCCTTTGACTTCACCCACATTATGGGGTATGGGGGATTTGATTGAATAGTGATACTGGGACACTGCTGCTCTCAGGCTGAATAGTAGGGGCTGTCCCATTACAGCATCATAAGGTGATGGAGTGTCGAATACTACGAATTCGGAGTTCGACTTCACCTGTCGGGGTACTGAACCTGACTCGACTTTGAGTTTGATCGATCCTTTGGTAGAAGTTAGGGCTCCACTTAATCCTAAGACCATATTTGGGTATTGTTGAAGGAAGTTAGCAGGGATACCCATCCATTTAAGGGTGTTGCTGAATAGGATGTTTAGACCGCTCCCTGTATCCACCAAGACTTTGGGGATGGTTACTCCAGCTACAGGCAACGAGATTACCAGAACTCCGGGGTAAGGATGTGGGTCCGCCTCCTTTTCGTTAAAGGACAATTGCTCATCTATGGCTTTTTTGAGGTGCTTCTCAGTTATGCCGATCTCCGAGAGATCCGCAACGATTGGTCTCTTCAATATGGCTTCCCCGGCTTGCGTGTTCGCCTCGCTCCTTAGCATGTTGACTTTTGGCTTTGGTAGGTCGACATTGCGAGCCCTTGCTCCAGCTTGATCTCCTCGGATAATGCTGTCCCGTAAGGAGTGGAAAATTTCATGCAATAATGATAAATTAATGTGGCAACTTTTAGCTCGTGCAAAATGGGTCGTCCCAATATTACGTTATAATTGGATAGCAAATCGACCACCATGAAATCTGCTAGGATTCTTCTTTGGCGAGGAGCTTCGCCCAGCTCTACAATAAGGATTATCTAACCTCGGGCTTCAATAGGATTCCCAGAGAATCCCTATAGTTTCCTTGAGTACGGTTGGAGGTAGCGTTCTGATATTTCCAACTGCCTCAAAGTTCGTGAGTACAGTATGTTGACCGAACTTCCGTTGTCTACCAAAGTTCGGTAGACTTTTACTCCAACAATCGGCATTGTGACCACTAGGGCGTCACTCTGGTCTTGGAGGATTCCTTCAGAATCTTCTTTCGTGAACCAGAACCATTCAGGGTCTATACTGATCTGTGGGGTTTGATTCCAGTAGTTTGGCATGGTTTTTGCACTTCGGGCTTGTCTTGGTCTCGCCCTTCTGGATCTCTCAATATACAGATTTCCTCCTACCATCATTTTGATTTCGGCACGTGGGGGTGGATTACGGTTAGGGACTACCTGCTGAGCTCGTGTGGGAGGCCCCTGCAACAGCGCCTACTGCATCATAGGTCGATCTACTTCTTTTGGCTTGGCAACAAACTCCTGTAACCAACCACTTCGAATTAAGGACCTCTTTGAATTAAGGACTCAACTTCTTCTTTTAATCCTCGGCAGTTATCAGTGTCATGGCCCACCATCTTGTGATATCGACAATATCGTCCCTGATGGTATCCTGTCTGTCTATCCTTCATGATCATAGGTTTGCGAAATGCCTCTTTTTCATTGGCTTGTGTGAATACTTCTTCCAGGGAGGCTTTGAATGGTTGGTACTCCCAAAATTTGTATGACTGAGTCTTAGGACGTTCTCTTTCTCTCCTGTCCTTCTTTCTTTCGGGCTGAGGACTGCAATTTTGTTTTTTCTCCTTCACTATATTGCTGAGGTCGGGTTCGCATCTGGCTTCCTCTTGGTCAGAGGTCGCTTCTTTAGCACTTATGTATTTCTCCGCTCGGTTCAGGAACTCGTGATAAGTTCTTGAACCGTCCTTGTGCAATGACCACCAAAATCTTGTTCTGGGCCTTAGTCTTGTTAATACAGCCATGAGTGCCGCATTGTCAGATATTTTTTCCACTTCCATGGATTGCTTGTTGAATCTGCTCAAATAGCTTTTGAGGGATTCACTTCTTCCATGTTTGATACTTACTCTTCATTCTTTGGGCGTGGTTCTGGCCTTAGAACCCATGAACTAGGCCAAGAATGTTGTGGCCAGATCATTCCAATTTTTTACTGACCTCTGGTGTAGTCTCCTAAACCATCTCTGGACTTTGTCTCCCAGAGTCAGGGAGAATGCCCGACACATAATTGCGTTGCTTGCACCCTGTAGTTCTATCCACGATGTGTATTTGTCAAGGTGGCTGAGGGGATCACCATCCCCTTCGTATGCGGCCATCTAAGGGATTTTCAATTTTTCAGGTAATGGTTCCATAAGGACATCCTTAGTGAAGGAGGAATGTCGTTTGGTCAGATAATCTTCAGTGCCACCTTTGTTTTTAGCCTCCAAGTCAGCGATGCGTCTTTTCAGCGCGCTCAGCTTGGGTTCTGTTTGTTCCAAAGGACGTTTGAAGTTGGTTTGTCCTCGCGTAGGGGGTTAGTGAGTGCTGGGTCTCCAATCTATCGAACACACTGCTAGTCCTCCTCGCCTTTGGTACCTTACTTCTGACCTTGTCAGTTCGGCTTCTTGAGGAGTTTCCTCTTTAATAGTGGAGAGTCCTCCTGGTGGGGGGACGCTTTGCTTTTGTCCTTACAGGGAATTCCACCTCGGTATCTGGTGGGGACGAGTGGGCTTGACTCCGTTCCAATCGTCCCACTACATTTGTCAGTTTTTCCAGGGCTTCCCTCATGGCAGTCATCTGAGGGTCTCGTCATCGTGGAGAACTTGGTGGAGTATTTGTTTCATGAGGGTGGGTGTGAGATGGATTTTTGGAACTTGAACTATGACTCTTGGCTCTCGAATTTTGTGGAGAGAATGAGACTATTTTTCACAATTGGGGCCCTTCTTCAAGCACCAAACTGTTGACGTCAAAATTCACAAAGCTAATCTTAAGCCAACTTTAAGAAAAAGGGGGATTTATTGTGGAAAAAGACCACAAAATGTGTTGAGAAAGTATAATTGTGCTATGAGTTGTTATATGAATTCACTTGCATTTTACCAGAGTCCTACTCAACTATTTATACATAGTTTTAGTTGAAATTACATCAAATCAATCAAATCAGCTACAGTACTGAGCTAGAAATTCGGGTCGCTGAATTCTCATGTGATTGGTTAACGAGGCTGGTGGTCACTTGTTAATGTTTTCCCTAGGTAATGATGACCTGCAAGGAGTTTCAGATTTAGGACTTAGAATTGGTGGTTTTGGACGGTGATGATGTCACTTTTGGCAAGTGTATGCAATTGATAGGGTGGTGTGACAGGGGATGATCATGATATTTTTCTGAGATAACGGCGGGACTGTCCAACTTGGGAGCATGGACCGAACTCACATTTGCCTGAGGTGAGGTCAGCGAACTGTTTTAACTTAGATCGGAGTTCGATTGTCAACATAGTTTATATCGAGTTTTGGTATTGATTTTAAATTTTACGAGCTAAAAAATAAGTCTTACTTTCTAGCTTAGAATTGAATAAAATTAGGGGCCTGTTTGAGCTACATTATTTCAAAAAAATATATTTTTAAACAGTGATTTGACATCATTTTAATCACACATTTTTCAATAAAATAATATTACATGTGTTGACACACAAAAAGTTCAGCCCAAGGAATGAAGCCCAATTAGAAGATCCCCAAAAAATCAAATAGCCCAAAGAACGACCTAGTCAGGCAATGCAGGATAAAGGCCCAAATAAGGAAGCCCATGAACGCGGAAATACCATCGCCCAAGGTTGCAAGTCGCCCAAGATTTGAGCGAATGAATTGCCATGCAGTTGCCTAGAGCTGTGACTCTGCTCTCTTCCAAACATTCAAGTCGCCCATCATCTTAGCAAATATAAGAATTATGGTTACCCAAAAGTGCAGTTAATGAAACAGTTATTGGGTAGTCCTATCACGTTCCACGATTCAAGGAATTCAATTGAAGACGGTTGAACGACAAAAGTAATGGCAGTAGTTAGAGAAGATAGTTCCATTACAAGTTGGCCACTACAAGGAAAGTTGGCAGTTATAGAGCGATCAAACAGTTTCTTAAGCGGTTGATCACGAAGAAATCATCCAGGGAGTATAAAAGGAAGAAAAGACATAGAGCAAAGGACCCCGAATCAAACACTCTCAAACAGAGAATATGTGACTTTCAATTTCTTAGTTTAGATTTAAACACTTCTTTTATAGTAACTCATGTGCTTGCGCCCCTTGGAGGCATTCTTTCTTTGCTTTCCGATTGTAAAGTCATCGTCAATGTCAATAAAAAAGCCCCTTTTTGGGACATTATCTCAAGAGGTTTGTCCCTTACACAATTGTCTGATCCCTTTTTAATTGTTAGCGACTAACCCGCATGAAACAATTTGGCACGCTCGGTGGGATAGTGGTGTTTGGTGTTGAAAATACAAAAGGTGAAACAATATGCTTCAGAGATCCGATAAGGAAGCAGTAAGTCAGGGAGGAGTTCAGTCTGTGATCGAGCAATATGAGGAGCAACATAACTCTCCACGAACAGATGGACAAAATCAAAGGAGTAACGAATCAATGGCAGAGTCGAGTCCTCGAACTATGCGTGCACTGCTTGGAGAACTCACACAAGATGTCGTTGAACAGGTAAATCTTCGAAATATTCATAATATGGAAAGATTTACCCAGAATGGGAATGCACATTATGACAACATGGCCAAACAACTGAATACTTTGAATGAAATAATGAATAAGTTAGTAGGCCAAATTTGTCAACCAGTTACGCCTCTTGCAAACCACTTTCAAACTAGGGCAGTTGTGGGACATAATCCCCCAATTCTAAATCCAAGTCAAGGGGTAGAACCACATTTTGGTCCCTCTACTTCAAACCAAGGGGATGGTGTAATGCTAAATCAGAATAATGGTAGTAGTACGCCTAACTTGGGGGGTAATCCAAATGTAAAAGACAATGTCCTAAATAACGGGCACAATACCCCACGTGTTAATGAGGGAATAAATGTTCAGGCTAATGGTAACAATGGTCTAAATCATGGTAACTTTATTCCTAATCAAGGACCAAATATTAGACCTCAAGCAAATCAATCGATCAACCAACCTGTAGGGATTCCATATGACCCCAACGTCATGTTGAGGAATCAGATTATGGAAATCATACAGGACCAGATGGCTTTTGGGGTACGTCCTGTCATTAGGCCAACTTACACAAAGCCATATCCCGATTGGATAGACCAAGCATATCCATGGCCTAGAGGGTATAAAGTGCCAGAATTCTCACTGTTTACCGGTTTAGGGGAGGTGTCCACTCTAGAACACATAGGACGATTCACACTGCAAAGTGGTGACGTAACTGATTATCATAAAATGAGGCTTTTCCCTAGTTCATTAACAGGAGTGGCTTTCTCTTGGTTCATAAATTTGCCAGCGACTTCTGTTCAAACATGGCAACAATTAGAATAATTGTTCAACGCTCAGTTTTATAAGATTGAGACTGAAGTTACTTTGGCCGATTTGACGAACCTACGTCAAATGTCAAACGAATGGGCAGAAGGTTTCCTCCAAAGGTTCAAGAAAGCAAGAAGTAAATATTTTGTACCTCTGCCCGAAAAAGAATTTGTCAAAATCGCTCAAGGTTGTTTGAGCTTTGATTTAAAAAAGAAATTCCAAGATAAGGAATTTCCTGACCTTTTCCAATTGAGCGCGAACGTGATTAGGTATGAACGATTGATAAGAGAAGAAGAGCAGATAAAAAATTCTAGCATAGGGACTTATTATAGAGACCCAAATTTTGATGTTCATACCATCAATAACGAGTCATACGATCAGACCGAAATGTGTTTGGCCGAATTAGTCAAAGGAGACACGTATACTTGTCCTATAATGGCTAAGCCTAGACCATCGGGTAAGGATGAGTCTATGAAAGATGAAAACGTAAAAGTTAGGACGTTCTCGTTCGATGTAACCAAAGCTGACCTTATATTCGATAAATTATATAAGGATAAGCAGATAAAACTGAGCGATAAGCATAAATTGCCAAACCCTGAACAAATAAAGGGTAAAAAATATTGCAAGTGGCATAATGCATGGTCACAATTGACTAACAATTGCTTGGTTTTTTGCCATGTGTTGCAGGATACCATTGAATCAGGATGAATTACGTTCGATGATAAGAAGAAGATGGCAGTGGATGAAAATCCTTTTCCACAACCACTTGGAGTGAATATGGTGACGTCTGGTTTTAAAAACAAGTTGCCAAAATTCAAATTGGTTATAGATGATGGAGAAGAAGACCCTAGACCACATCCAAGTGTCTTTGAGCGTATTAAAGGGAAGGAACCAAAGAAGGATGAAGACGTCTTATGTGCAAGATGTAAAAGAGAAGTGAGTGAGAATACGGAGAAACCAGGGATATGACAGCATCCCCATTGCCCTACTCTCCTCCCAAACGCTCAGCCTGGTAGAGGGCGAGGTACATCGTTCTAAAAGGGACCACCTTTTGAGATGCAGTTCAGGCCAGTAGATAATGGGAGAACATTCAGGCCGCAACCCCGTCGGCCAAATATATGGCATTCGTTCCAGTATAATACAGGAAGGGCAATACCCTTCGACGAGATGACTAGAACCCAACAAAGGCGTTTCCAATGAAATTATGGACGAATGATGAGGCAACAACAGGGAATGCCACATCCTAAAGCACCTAAACTACTCAAGGTAATCAATCAAAATGTTCTCAAAGATAGTGAAGAGACCGGTACAGATGAATCAATGAAAGAGTTGCCAGAAACTTCTTCTGGGAGATCGAAGTTTGAGCGAGATGGAAAAGATGGAGAAGATCCAGATCAGCCCCTTACTATTCAGGTTCGGTACGTTAACTCCTGTTGTGGCTAATAACTATTTACAGCCAATGAGTTCAAGAATAAAGAGAATGAAGAAGAAGTAAGGGAGGATAACGAAGGAGAAGCATGCGTGCTGGAATATGAAGAAGGCCAGACTTCTAGAGAGGCCTACAATGGTGAGGAAGATGATGGTATGACAGACATTGAAGAGAAAATCGATCTGAAAGCAGAAAGGAGAAGAAGAGGAGTATCGCACAATACTTTGTTGAAACAACTATATCGAGAGGAGTTCGTGAAGTAGACTTATTGGGAGAACCATCTGGGCGTTCTTTTGATTTTTACGTGCTGTACGGGACGCCCAAAAGGAAGAAGAGAGTGCCTCGTTCTGAAAAGTATGGATCGCCTCCAAGAATAATGCCTCCTCCCACAGGCTGGGTGAC